CTCTAAGTTGACCCTCTCCGAAAAAGAGCATCAACAAAATTGCCTATAGTTCTTCATGAGATTGTAATAAAAGCATGGAGAATTGTTCATAACGTGCTAAACCAAACAACAAAAATTCAATTCTCAGAAAAGAAAGTGAGACAGAGAGAACCAGCAAACCCAAATTTCAAGCTCCAACAATTGTAATCCAAACAGCAAGCAGTGAATTAAATAAACAAATTATGCAACTCGAGAAAAAAAGAAGGCTAGATGGATTTTGATGTTGCAGAAATTGAAGAAATAGATATATAAAAAGGAAAAAAGAAAAGAAAGAAACCACTGACAGGCAAACACAGCATTTGAACTCTTCTCGGAATTCGTCGGCTTCAAGCTCTGGTTGTGGTTGTTGTTTTATTAGGGTTTTATTGTCTTCCATTTCGAATAAATCTCAGACGGGAGAAGGATGATTCTTTTAACAAAAATTTCAGTGGCGGTTTATGGAGCGCCTCGACCCACAAATAGAAATTATCCATCTAATTATTATTATTTTTTTTATTACTATTATTACATTTCTTCTTTTTCAATATTATTATCAGTAAAATAACATTTTGGTCACTATAATTAGGGTCGAAGATGATTTTGATCACCATGATTTCAATTTTCCAAATTTCGTTCTTATAATTGTAGTTGTTATCAAATCAAGTCGAATACATCAATCCCGTCAATTAAGTCCAAATAAATAAATAAAATACAAATGATTAAAAAAATAAAAACAAAATAAGAATTTATATCCAACAAAAATTCTTTAAGGCACCAATTATGATGTACAAAATGAAAATATATAATGCATTATGCATAAGAGGTCTCAACTTGGAGATAAAAATGAAGAATTGCAAGCAATTGGACAATTAAGAATGGAGGGAATAATTTTATGTTATTGTGGAGTGACAGCTCCTTTGAAGTTCATGTGCTTGTGGGCCTGTCAAGTGGCCAACTATGGTCCTTAAATTCCATCACATGTGCTAAGGACTATGCAACTTGCATCATATGGTTTAAGAATGTATCAGAAATCTCAATATAGCACTATTAAAACAAAAAACAAAAAACAAGTTGGTTAAAAAGAAATATTGAAACTTTTTAAAGACAAATAAAAGTTGGAGAGCTCAAATAATCATTCTTATAGTTTAAAAAGAAATGAAGTAATTCTACCTGTGAAGTTGCTGGCATGGGATGATTAAATATGAATGGTTAAAAAATGATAAAGTGATTATAAATATAAACTCGATGTCAAGTAGTTAAGAGTATTTGTATATGCATTGGAAGTGACGTGTTTAATTATTCTTTTATCGATATGACTTTTACGTGTCAAAGTTGAATTAGCCTGAAAATGTTATTGTCCTGCAGTGATTAGTATCTTTATTAAATGATGATGAGTCAGTCGTTTGAAATATGTGGTGGCTCAAAGATATATAGTATTGAGGTTTATATTAATGCAAGGAAAGTTTTCTTGTGCTGTTGGGTTTTCATAGTCAAACAGATAATGTTGTTCAGCAAACAAAGAAAACTGTTTAGATTAGACAAGTTTATGAAACCAGACGCTGACAATTCAATAATTATTTATAATTTGCAGAAAAATACATTGAATAACAAGACTGATTCTACTTGAAGAAGAATTGGAAGGTGTTCATTTCTTTGTGTTTCTTCTTCGCTTTTCTGTTTTTCCACTTGATTTTGAGTTCACAATGATCAGTGAGTCCAACAAGTCTTGTTTAAGGGGCAATTAGACTTGCAAGCTGCAATACTTGCGCAGGAAAGACATGTGGTTGATTTCTTGCTCTTGTAATGTGTAAAAAGAGTGTAAAGTACAATTGTTCAGTTGAAAAAGCTTAATCCTTTTGGCAAAGGGCATATCAAAATCTTTAATCTATGAAGATATAAGGAATCAAACAATCTCGGGTGCAATAGTAACTGCGAAATCAAAACATTAAGAAAGAAACAATGTGGTGTGCTCAATTCTTTATCTTTACGTGCAACAGAGTAACGTTGTAAATAAACTCTTGATATAGGGTAGGTAAATTTTGTCTAATATATATGCCCAATTATTTACCTCTATCTGATAAATTTTTAAATTTTTAAATTTTTTGAGAAAACCTCTATGTGCTCAATTAATTACTCCTTGATACGGGTTGACGTTTCACTGTGTTCCTTATTCAGCATATCGCACGGACCCAAAACCCCGCTGCTAGGGTTTTAGAATGACCAGTAGAACTAATAATTGATCATCATCAACATCCACGCAGGGAGGGGTCAAACATGGTGGTACCTCCTTACAGCTTCAACATCCTCAGATTGGGTTATTCAATAGTTTCTTGTACATTTGCTTCCACAACTAAAAGATTTTTAGTTGGAGATCTAAAACCCTCGCACATTTCTCTTCAAAATCATTTACTTCACAGACCCATCACCTCAAAAATCTCAGCAGACCAACACAATTTCACAGTCGCTTACCTCATAAACTCATGTGGGTTGTCCCCAGAAGGCGCAATTTCATCATCCAAGTGGGTAGAGTTGCAATCCTCACAAGGAGCAGACTCTGTTTTGGCCCTTTTGAGCAACCATGGACTCTCTAAAACCCAGATCTCAAAGGTTGTCAGGTTACGCCCTGCTATTCTTGTAGCTGATCCTGAGAAAACCCTTTTGCCCAAGCTTGAGTTTTTCAGCTCTGTTGTAGTTTCAAGGCAAGACCTTGCAAGAATTCTGTGTTTTAATCCCCACCTTTTGGCAAGAAGCTTGGAGAATCAGATTATACCCGCTTATAAATTTCTCAGGAGTCTGATTTCCGAGGAAAATGTAGTTGCTGTTTTGAAGCGCAGCTCATGGATTTTCCTGGAAAATCGCAGAAAGAATGTGGTCCCCAATTGAGCTTTTGAGAGAATTGGGTATGCCCGAATCATGCATTGCTCTGTTGCTAGCTCACAACACTCAGGTCTTGATGCACAAGCATGAAAATTTTGCTGCAGCTGTGGAAGAGGTTAAAGCAATGGGATTTGATATGAAGAAATCAACTTGTGTGATGGCACTAAAAGCATTGTGTGGGGAGAGCAGTAAGTTCATATGGAATCGAAGTTGCGAAATTTACAAGCGGAGTTGGGGTTGGTCTGATGATGATGTGATCTCTGCTTTCAGGAAGATTCCAGGGTGCATGATTCTGTCTGAGAAGAAAATAATGCAGGTAATGGATTTTTTAGTGAACAAGATGGGATGGCCTTCAAGAGTGATTGCCACATATCCTGTGATTTTGTGTTTCAGTTTGGAGAAGAGAATTATTCCAAGGTGTTCAGTTGTTAAAGTTTTGCTGTTGAAGGGGTTGATAGATGAAAACTTCAGTTTTTCCTCTGTGCTGTTGCCTACAGAGCAGCACTTCTTGGAGAGGTTTGTGACCAGATATATCAACCAATTACCTATGTTGTCGGATGTGTATCATGGAAAATTGGATGTCAAGGATGTGTGATTTTTTGCACTATACTAATAGTTTTGCAGGCTTAATGTTTCATTTACTTGACAAAGATGATCAAAAGAAATCCCATGAACAAAATATCTTTCATCATTCTTAGCATTTTCAATCGTTCCACATTTTCTTTCATATCGGTTTCCCTATGTAGGGTAAATAAGTTACATTTTCATCCACTAATGTGACAGGAATATAAATTAGACCATATTGAAACCTCATTAAAATGTGAATTGGAACTTTACGCCATATAATTTTAGCTCCATTTCGAGGTGTGCGATATCATCTCCAAGATTTTGCAGGTCATGGTAATGACCCTTAAAATGAAAATGAATTGTTCAATCTTCGCCATGCGTCATTGAGTAGTGTGATCGAGAGGATATTCGGCATTTTTAGATCACGGTTCACAATTTTTAAGTCAGCGCCTCCATTTCCATTTAAGACACAAGCAGAGCTTGTGTTAGCATGTGTAGCACTACGTAACTTTCTTCGCAAAGAGTGTTGTTTTGATGAATTTCCAATTGAATCAGTAGACGAATCTTTTTCATCTTCAGTATTACCAGTTAATGAAGAAGAGAATTTGGAACCTATTGTTCAAACCCAAGAGCAGCAATGAGAAAATGCTAATGCATGGAGGGCTACCATAGCTTTAGATATGTGGAGAAATGCTACTTAGGAGGACATGAAGCTACATCAAATTGGCTATTAAAAGATTGGGAAATTTTTATTGAATTTTACTTTTCTTTGTTAAAATTGTTTTTCTTTGTTATCTTTTTCATTGACTCTTATAACTTTGAATGTTTGCTTTTATTTATTGTTCCATTTCATTTGATCCCGTTTATGTTATTGCTGATGCAAGTGCCCACAACTTTAAGCAATTGACTTTCATTGGCTTTTTATTTATGGCTTCATTCCATTGTTTGAACCAAGTGTCCGCAGTCTAGTAACCTTATACCTATCATAAAATCTTTGGGAAGGATAAATTCCACCATCATTTAGAAAGCTTGGGTTGTAGAGGTTGTTCCTGAAGAATTCGTGCACCATTGAACTAGACATTGCTCATCATCCAACTAAGTTGGTTGATTAACATCGTACAAATAAAAAATCCATGTGATCCTTTCAAATCTTATAAATTCTTATGATATAAATCTTTAAAATCCAAACATAAAAAATCCCCGAGCATAAAAAATCTTTTAAAAAAAATCTTATAAGTCATTACATTCTTAAATAGTCTTTTAAAACCCACTGGACTTATTCATCCATAAATAGTCTTTTAAAATCTTAATTGAATACACCCCCTTAAAAGTGTCAAATCTAATCAATGGCAATATATTAATTCGTGGCTTTTTACACTTCTCTTGAAAAGAGGAGAATGAGTTATGTATAAAACATGGTGTGCATCTCTTTACACAAAAAAACAGTTTTCCCATATTTTGTTTGAGCATCTAAAATTCATAAGAAAGCTGATGTGCATATATTTGAGATAAATCATCAAGTGTTCCATGTTTACTTGGTGATTTATCAAACACTTTATCATTCATTTGCATTGTTCGGTGGCTCATACGATTGAGGGCATCAAGACCATGGCCTATGGCGAGTTTGAAGCAATTGTGACCAGTATTGCATTAAGGAGTGTCGAAAATCATCCAGTGACAGAAGTTGAGTTACGAAGAAGTTGGTAAATATTATCTAGAATGTATCTAGGATAAGTGTGTGAGTACTTTTTGTAATCACCGTTCTATAGTAGATTTGTGTTTGACTGAGGAGTTCTGTGGATTTTCCTTAGAGGTGGGGTTTTATCAAGTACAATAATTCTCTGCGTGTTCCTTTGTTTTATGTTGACCATGTTTTAGAATTGATAAGCTATATCAATCTTGCTACCGAAGTTTAATTGATATTAAACATTTGGGATTTGTTGGAGTTTTAATTTGAAAGTTTCATGTTCATTCTTTGTCTTATAATTCATATTAAACACCACCTTTTTTAAATATATTTTTTATATTTTTATATTTTTTTAACGAACGGACAATGAAGTCCTTGGCCAATTGACGGAAATAAAGGCTTGGACCTGATTTGTTAATGATTGCAAATGCAGTGGCGAAATTGGAAAAATTGAAATCATAGTGACCAAAATTGATTTCGAGCCAAATCGCGACTAAAATTGTAATTAACCCAAAAAATATAACTCTTCTTAAGCATATGGCACGGACCCAAAACCGCCCTGCTGCCTAGGGTTTTAGAATGACCAGTAGAATTAGAAATTGATCGTGATCAAGATCTAAGAAGGGTCAAACATGGTGTTACCTCTCTACAGCTTGAACACCCTCAGATTGGGCTATTCAATAGTTTCTTGTACATTTGCTTCCACAGCTAAAATATTTGTTGCTGGAGACCTAAAACCCTCACACATTTCTCTTCAAAATCATCTACTTCACAGATCCATCACCTCAAAAATCTCAGCAGACCGACACAATTTCACAGTCGCTTACCTCATAAACTCATGTGGGTTGTCCCCAGAAGGCGCAATTTCATCATCCAAGTGGGTAGAGTTGCAATCCTCACAAGGAGCAGACTCTGTTTTGGCCCTTTTGAGCAAACATGGACTCTCTGAAACCCAGATCTCAAAGGTTGTCAGTTCACGCCCTGCTATTCTTGTAGCTGATCCTGAGAAAACCCTTTTGCCCAAGCTTGAGTTTTTCAGCTCTGTTGTAGTTTCAAGGGAAGACTTTGCTAGAATTCTATGTTTTAATCCCCACCTTTTGTCAAGAAGCTTGGAGAATCATATTATACCCGCTTATAATTTTCTCAGGAGTCTGATTTCCGAGGAAAATGTAGTTGCTGTTTTGAAGCGCAGCTCATGGATTTTCCTGGAAAATCGCAGAAAGAATGTGGTCCCCAATATTGAGCTTTTGAGGGAATTGGGTATGCCCCAATCATGCATTGCTAGCTCACAACACTAAGATCTTGATACACAAGCATGAAAAGTTAACTGCAGCTGTGGAAGAGGTTAAGGCAATGGGATTTGATATGAAGAAATCAACTTTTGTGATGGCACTAAGAGCATTGTGTGGAGAGAGCAGTAAGTCCATATGGAATCGAAGCCGTGAAATATACAAGCGGAGTTGGGGTTGGTCTGATGATGATGTGATTTCTGCTTTCAGGAGGAATCCACAGTGCATGATTCTGTCTGAGGATAAAATAATGCAGGGAATGAATTTTTTGGTGAACAAGATGGGATGGCCTTCAAGAGTGATTGCCACATGTCCTGTGATTTTGTGTTTCAGTTTGGAGAAGAGAATTATTCCAAGGTGTTCAGTTGTTAAAGTTTTGCTGTTGAAGGGGTTGATAGATGAAGACTTCAGTTTGGCTTATGTGGTGTTGCCTCCAGAGCAGCCCTTCTTGGAGAGGTTTGTGATCAGATATATCAACCGATTACCTCAATTGTGGGATGTGTATCATGGAAAATTGGATGTCAAGGATGTGTGATTTTTTGCACCATACTAAAAGTTTTGTGTGCACAATGTTTCATTTACTTGACAAAGATGATCAAAAGAAATCCCATGAACAAAATATCTTTCATCATTCTTGGCATTTTCAATCGTTCCACATTTTCTTTCATATCGGTTTTCCTATGTAGAGTAAATAAGTTACATTTTCATCCACTAATGTGACATGAATATAAATTAGACCATATTGAAACCTCATCAACATGTGAATTGGAACTGTAAGCGATAGATACAGAACCATGGTCGCGACATTTTTGATAGTAAGTGATTGATACAGAAGTGTAGGATTAACAACAGGAGATGAAGTTGCAGAGTGAGAATCAGAGGAAGAATCCGCTGTTGATGAGCAAAAGACACGAAGAATAGGAAGAAAAGACTGTTTCGGAGGTTAGAAAATGAGAGAGAGAAAGAAAATCACAGAATCAACCAGTCGTAAGACAATTGGCTCTGATACCATGAAGAACAATGTAAAACTTCTGAATATTCTCATTCATTATTGAATAATGATTACAATACACAGATAGCTTAGCTAACCAAGCTGTACAAGCTTAACAGATACTCTAACTAAACTTAACCACAACTGGTATTGATTAAACAAACTCTTAACAGAAAAGAGGGAAGCATCTGCTAGCTGTGAGGTGCATGGTAGAATTGTATAGCTGCAGAATCAGTTGCATTTGATGATCTCTCTACATGTTGAACAAGTCTTGTTTAACAGGCAATTAAATTTTTGTATGAAACTTGAAAGCTGCAATATTTGCACAGGAAACACATGTGATTGATCGGTTTGCTCTTGTAATGTGTAAAAAGAGCGTAAAGAACAATTGTTCAGTTGAAAACATGCCTTGAGTTTGAGGATTTCAACCCTTTTGGCAAAGGGCATGGGAGGCATAGAGCCCTTTTGTTTGTTCTGTAAACAATCATAATCTTTAGTTTTTGCATAAAATCTCATTTACGAATATTAGTGTTGAAGAATGTAAAAATAAGTGAGTATAGCACTAATAACCCAAGCCAGTATTTTTTTTTCTTCCCGGGAAACATAAGCAAGTTATTTTAGTGGTTTATTTGGCACATTAGATGTAATCTGTAGTTTCTGTTTGGGTTAAATACCTTTTTGGTCACTAGGTTTTACACAAAAATTCAATTTGGTCACTGAGAAATTTTTTTAGCCAAATTGGTCACTGTGTTTCCCAAAGTTTACAATTTATAGATATTCAGTTATCTTCCAATAAATGCAGTTTTTATTTTATTTTTTTAGGAAGCACATTCAATCTTCTTTCTCTAACTAAACGAGTTAGGGTATATTGTGCTATTAGGGTTTAACAAATTGCGGGAAATCTTGGATTGAAATCAAGATTATGAATTATAAGGTCATGGATTGGATGCTATATTGAAGTATGAATTGATTCAGTGAGAATCTTATTGTGACTCTGGATGACAATCAAGGTGATAGAGCACCAAAATATGTTGGTAAGTTGTTGATTTCATTTTAATTTGGTTTGGCATTTTGATTTTCCTTATACCTCACAATTTCAATTTCAACCTAAGATTTCCTCTAATTTGTTAAACCCTAATCTCCCAATATACCCTAACTCGTTGAGCTAGAGGAAGAAGACTAAAAAAATAAAAATAAAAACTACACTTAACGTAGGAGAGCGGAATGTCTCTATAAATTGTAAACTTTGAGAAACACAGTGACCAATTTGACTAATTTTTTTTTCTCGATGACCAAATTGGATTTTTGTGTCAAATCCCAAAAAAGTTTTTGTTTTTTAATCTCTACCTCTATTTTCTTTTAATTATCAATTTTTTTTTTGGGGTGGTGAGGAGAGGAGGAATCAAACTATCTCGAGTGGAATAGTAATTGCGAAACCAAAACATTCAAAAAGAAACTGTGGTCAATTTTTCACATGTGCTCAATTATTTACCTCTCTACGGGTAACTTAGTGTAGGGGCTTTTTTGTTTCAGCAACTACAGATGGGCCTGAGCTGCTTTAAAAAGCAAATGGCTAGAGTTGCCCCTATGTCTGAGTTTAAGAATCAGGCCTCAAGAGTGCTTCGACAGGTTCGTGGAGCCTTAGGGAGCACTTTGGTTTCTTTTACCAACAAAACCAATAGCTGCTTACAGACCAATATTTTGGCTTGGCTTGAGAAGCTTGCGGCATAGAACTTGAGCGTACATGAGTTTAGCATTAGAGAGAGAAAGCTTGGATTTCCTATGAGAAATAGGGGTTCAAAGCATGGAGAGAGGGAATTTTGAGAAGATTTTTTTAGGGAACAGAGGAAAAGATGAGGGTGGAAGAATGGGTGACTTGAGCAAATTTCCAGCCACTTGACGAAAGCTTCGTCACGTTCTTGGAGGGTTTGCTAGAGGAGAAAAAGGAAGGAGATGGTAGAAAATAGCTCGAATTTGAAGGGTTCCAGCAGTAAGGGAGGGTGCTTGCTTGCTCTGGTGTGGTTGGTTTTGCTAGGTAGGAGATGCCTATTTTTATAAGCGCTGGAAGCCTCCAATTTTATCAAGTCTTCTCCTCCATTTTTCTTCACTTTCTTCCATACAATCCTCTTTGGTGAAACTTTCCCAGAGCGCATAGGCACGAAGCCTTTTGGAGTTTCAAGATTTTCACGCGGTGGGGCTCCTTCATGTGGGTGAGGTGCTGCTTACTTTTCTTCCTAGTTTTCCTATTAGAGTGGCTTGGTGCTGTTGAGGCCCAAAAAATCCATGATTGTGCCCGAATAAATTATCAGCCCAAAACGACACTCCATTAAGGAAAAGCGTAAAGCGGAGTACATGAAAACCCGCAACATGTGAGTTACAGTTCACGTGCCATGCTAAATAAATTTGCCATGCTAGGGGTTGAGATAAAATATACCGGTTCTACAAGCCTATGCCGAAATTAAATATCGCAGTCCTTCCCAAGGACGATAAAAGCCTTGAGCTTCAAAAACTCTGATATGGTGCAAATAGATAGAAGAGATTTCATCAAAATGGGAAAAACCAAAGAAGGAGATGAGAAAGGAGGGAAAAGCTTGGCCAAAATAGGTAGAAGCCATTAGGGTTTCTTGAAAAACGGTGGTTTCTAGCAGCTATAGATTGAGGTTTCTCCTACCTAACAAATCCAACCCAGATTTAGAGAGCAAACTTTCTCTCTAACTTGCAAAAACCTAGCAATCTCGTGCACTGTTCACCTTCTTCTCCATTTTTCTCTTCTGGCAGACAGAGTATCTGTCAAGTTGCCGGAAGAGTATTGTTCTTCATTTCTCTCTTCCTAGTCAAATCTCCTACAAGCTTCTTCTTTCTTACCTTAACACTCCCTTTTTTCCCCTGAGAAAGCCTAAAGTTCCCTTCAGTGCTAAACTCATGTTGATTTTGCTTCCATGCCACATGCCTCTCATGCCAAGCTCAAAATTTTATCTGTAAGCATGCATAAATTATCTGTAAGCTGCTATCGTTTTAGTCGGTGAAGGTAACCAAGATGCTTCCTAAGGTTTTATTGCCTTTTCAAAGCATTTTTGGGGCTTAATTTTCAATCTCAGACACAGGGGACGATTTCTTCAGTTTGCTCCTTACGGCAGCCCAGCCCATTTGTAGTTGTCGGAAGAAAAAAGCCCTACATAAATTGGCGACTCTGCTGGGGACCAGACCAGGCTGTTATTTTCACTAATGCTTTCAAGAAAGAAGAGCATAAGTAATTCCATGGCTTCCCAAGATGAGCTGGACTACGGTGACTCAGGATCAAGGCAAAATGCATCTCCTGGAGAGAAAGAATATGCAAGTGAGAGAGCTTTCACCATCACAGACCTTGTTGCAGCCATCCATGCTATGGGGGAAACCTAAAGGGAAATGATGGACACCACCAAAGAACTGAAAAGTTCTGTCTCTAAGCCAAGCGAAGAAAATAACAGACACCAACAAGGGGAGTCTGCTGCTGCCCGAAAGGGTTCTGAACTAAATGAGCCATCTTTTGTCACTCATGAAGATGTGATTGCCATGCTGGAGAAGAAACTAAGCCGAAGCCAGGAGGATTGGAAGTATGTTCCTCAGCCACCATATTCATCAAGCCTACTCCAGCAGCTATACCCCAATGGTTATAAAGCACCAAGTTTTGTCCTTTTCGACGGAAGGAATGGAAGCCCGAAGGAGCATGTCAACCACTTCATTGATGCTTTGGGACTACACGCTAATGATCATAATCTCTGTCTCTGGGAGTTTTCAAAAAGCCTTACCGATCGTGCTTATACGTGGTACACAACATTAGCACCAGGCTCTATTTGCTCTTGGGAGGATTTGGCAAGCAGTTTCTGTAAGAAATACTTCCAGCATTTGGAAAGAGTTACTACCACTCAACTCAACAACACCCGCTAAAAAAAAAAAAAAGCGAGGATCCCGTGGACTTCATGTGCAGGTTCCGGGACCTGGCTCTAGACTGCTATGATGAGAAGGATGAGGAAGCGTTTGTTGAAATTT